TTGGAGTGATAAATGCTTTTTGTGTACAGAACTTAATTTTTAAGTACTTGGAACCCAGAGACTTGCAGCAGCGCTGATGAGAATACAGACTCGGCTGTCAAGCCATCCTCGCTGGAGAGGCTGCTCTGTTGCATCGGAGCTGGTGACATAGATATGCCCCTTCTCACCTCTGCTTGCACATCTGGGAAAGAAGGATAAAGACAGTACGTCCCTCTGGGTTACTAGAAGGAAGAAGTGAGATAATTGACGTGAATCCTGGTAGCTAACCTATGATGAATGCAGAATGAATGTCACTATTTGTAGCAGAACCAGAGAGATAATCCCAAATTCTCAATTATTAATTCTCGCAGGCCCTTTATTGATGGTTTACTTGATATAGTTTGTTTTTGTATACGTGCAGAAGGCAATAAGACGATTATGCTATAAGTTGCACCACCTATTCGTTCCAACTAGACTTCCTTCAATTACCGCTAAACAGTTGATGTCTGTGTATGATTTCAATAGGGGTTAGAGTGATGTTTGCTGTGTGATACCACTGGGAGGGAAAAATCAGTTGTGGTCATTGTTTTCCTTTGAAAAGTAAATGGACACAGTTAATAGACAGTGAAGATGAAATAATGACTTCAAGCATTTATTCAATCATGTTCTGTGCCACCTGGGAACAACGAAGATATCATTTACAACGCTGGGCAGAGGGAAGACCCCTCTAGCCTGGTGCGCCAAGTAAGAAAACTCAAGCTTCTTACTCTCAGTGGAGAAGCACGCTGATTAAAAAAATGAAATTAAAAAAATTAATCTTCAATCTGTTTCCACAATGTTCAATAATTTGAGTTTGCCCTAACAGTGTAAGACACACCAATCATCTATTTAAATTGTTCGAGCAAGAAAGCTCAGTTGGGAGAAGGTGGAGGAGTTGGCTGTTTCTATATTGGCAAGGTGGCTTATTATTTTCAAAAACCATCAGTGTCCTATCCCTTCTAGTGGTGAAACAATCCAAAAGGTTCCGCTGGCACATAAATCAAGGTTTCCCCACTTGCCCACCATGAGTCGCCTTTTAAACACACATTCCTAGACAGCTCCAGGGAATCAGCATTTCTAAGTGACTCTAGTAATCCAACAAGTTTGGGCAGCCCTCTCCACAGTGGTTTTCAGCCCTGACCCCATACTAGTCTCCTGGAGAGCGTAAAAAGCGGCAGCCCAGCCCATAGCCACGACCAATGCCCAGACCTCACCCCAAAGTGAATCAGCACCTCTGGACTTGGCCCTATGGGCACAAACCCTCAATGGCAATCTGCATTTGAACAACCTCTTGGGGGAATCCATGTGCACACTGAAGGTTTTGACAAGGCTGTTAAAGGGCCTATCAACAGAACATCTATCTTTCCATCCCGAGGAGGATGGAGTTTTGCTCCCCACTCCCTCTTCCCATTTTACCACCACCAACAAAAGCAGCTTAAAATCTTTCCGGAGGTCTATTTCTTTATCCTCTTGGCCACTGAAAGCCAACTTAAGAGGGATAGTGTGAGGCAAACCTCTCTGTTCCAAAATCATTTATTAATTGGAAGTATGTTAAATAGTGTCCACCACTTTTACCCAAATGCCCCAGCAACTTTTAATTGGCAGTTTCTGTTTCATGTCCCAAACCAAAAACATTAAGGATCACTAGCATTCATATCCGTGAATTCATTTAGACAGTTTTCTTTAATTAACGATGAAGACACTACAGTTCTAAGTACCAGACAGAATCAGGGGGAAAAAAATTGAAAATAAGCATAACACTATAAAGAAAACTCGGAAAAGTGAAACACTTCTAAATAAAAAATATATACCTGGCCTGGTACCCATTACATATATACATAATACATATGTTATACACGTATATACAATAAATGTTTTGGTAGCAACACAGACCATGCATTGGTCCTTCTGTACACAGATGAAGTAGCACCATCGGCAGCACCACCATCTGAAGATGATAAACCAAACTGCACATACATTAAATGAAAAAATATATATGTATTTAATTTGGCCCACCCTGCAGCCAAGAGGTGTAAGGAAAGAACTTTGTAAGAAAAATTGTTCTGGGAACTACATTCTTAAGCCAATAGCAAAGTTCTAAGATCAACAAACAAAACAAAAACAAAAACAAAACAGCACTAACGATGCCTATACAAATACAGACAAGTTTTCCTGTTTACTGAATTTGTCCTATCACGCGCATATTGGTTAACACCGGGGAAATGAACAACATAAGCAGAGAGATTTAAATCCCAGGTGAATGGCATGGATCTAGAACACCAGAGCTCCTGGTGTACACATCACAAATGCCAAGTCATCCAACAAACGATGAAAGGAAGACAACTCTCCAGCTAAGTCATGTTTTCTAATCTTATTAGCTAATTATAAGCTCTTTATTACTGATAAATTCCTTAAGAATAGGGTCAAACACTTTCACGATCTTTCTACCTCCTCTCAGCACCTAACTGGATGCTCTGGTTACAAGCACTGGGAAACCCAACATGCCATCCGACCCACACAGTCTCTACCCATGCTTAGGAGACGGATGGACAGAGCTATGGTGGGACCTCCAAGATCTTATCTGGCTTGACTTTGGAGATGATCAAAGGCACCAGAGTCTCTCCAGGACTAAGTTCACAAGACTGGAGGTCTTTCTCTTAGTATTGACAAGGCCATATTTCCTCACTCCCAAGAAGTGCATGCTTCTTCTCCTAAAGTTTTTCAGCAGGCTTTATGAATGCAGCATTACCTCCTAGGTACACACGATGTCCTAGGAACACTAACTCCCCCATCAAGTCATTGCAAAGAAGCAATTTCATGTTTAGCTTCCATCCATTCTCCTTCGCATGCCTTCCAAAGGGTCCTCCTGTCTCTCCCCAGTCAAGGTCTTAATTCCCACAGTGTCTCTGGTTTCAGGGCCTCTTTGCGTGATGGACTGACCCCACAGAGCTCCGCCAAAGCACTCGGAGCACTTCCCATTTTTCATGGCTCTACTGTCAGTGGACGATGAGCTCCCCTCCCATTTTTAAACCACCTGCAGCAAATAAAATTAAAGTTTTCAGCTACCTGGCATATTGCATTCAGGATGCAAGACTGAACAAAACAGGGCTTCATGTATTGTACAATACTGCTCCTTACAGTATAGTAAAATTGTTTCCTAATACTTTAAATGTCTCAAATGTAAAAGACAATAGGGGGAAATAAAGGTTAAAAATCTCTACTTTTGGCTAGATGATTTTTAGTAAACCCATTTTGGCAGTCAACCTAGATTAGTTAAGAGTCCCTGACCTTTGAAAGTTAGCAAGAAATAGCCACAAACGTAACATCAGTACTGAATCGTCATTATTGACTCAGGTGGTTGATCATTAATGGATTCTCTTCACTTCTAGCTGGTTCTAGGACTTTTTTTTTTTTTTTTGCCCAGAATGAAGATATCATCAAAGTCATGAACTATATTTGTTCTTTCCACAAAGGAGAATTTTAAAACTCTGCCTAGATCTCTAAGAAAGAACACTATAAAAGGTTGGTCTCATGAGGAAAAAGCCACTAACTTATAGGTTAACCAGAGGCCACGAGAAGCCCCATTAATGTAATTCCTTGGCTGGCCTACAAATACTTGGAAATGGATAAAAGCCAGTTTTCAATAGGAACTGAACACAAGGATTTTAGCAGCTGATGTTGCTCAAGGTCAACCCCTCTGTAGGCAGAGCATGAGTTTTTGCCTTAAATACCAGCAACATCCAGTTTTAAATTGGTGAAGTCTGATACCACCACCAAACCCAGCTCAGGGACCACTAGAAGCAGCTTATTAAATAAGAATTTCTACCTTTATGCTACTTGACTCAACAAAACATCAGAGAAATTGACCAAGAGATGGCTTTTCCAGTCTGTTCATTTCTGTTCTCACCCAAAACATGTTGATACTCTATGTGCAGAGGTATCTCGGTAATACATATTCAAAGTAGAGTTTCCTTGAGAAATAATAACCAGCTTTACAGGAAAACGGTCAGGGCTGACTTTGTTCATTGATGTCTCTTTAACTACTTACGCCCTCATTGGAAGAAAGCAGGACAGCTTGCTTTCTTCCTACATTAGCAGGAGTAGTAGTCAGAATACTTGCAAACATTTAAGTTGGTTTGACCAAGAAAGACTTTTTTCTAAAAGTGTGAAAAAAAAAATTCATAGCAGATTTTTAAAATCGGTAGTGTTCTCACCTCATAGGAAATGATGTAATTCAGCAAGTTCCTTGAAAACAATGGATTCTTATGACTACAGACCTATTCATCTTAGAAATTGATGAGCATGCAAATGATCAGAATCTGCAACAATGAACGTCGCACAACAGTCTATGAGGTACATGCTGTCCGGTTGAATTAACAGTAACACAGGCCTCAGCAGCATGAGGGGTTCCATTTATCTCCCCTCCCTGTTGAGTAGAGTAGGGGTCCCCCCCAACCAGCTGGACGACAGGCAGCAGCCCCTGCAATGGCTCCCAACCTTGTCCCTTCCTTGTAGCCCCTCCCCGACCCAGGGAGCTCAACCCATCAGAGAAATGAAATGTTGCTCCTCTCCACAGCAGGGCTGGGAACTTCTGATAGTTTACACGGACTCTGAGGGAGCCTGACCTGGGCATTAATTCACTTAACCTTTAGGAAGTTTCCTGGCAAAAAAGATTAAAAACATGGTAGGCAGTATCTTTAAGTATGTCCACAGCCTTTTCTTTTTCACAAGGAAAAATTCCAAGATGTGTGTGCTTTCCAAACAAGAGGATTAACATCTTCACTGCTGGCTAGATGTTTCAGGAGCCAGTCATTATGCTTTGACATGCTCTCCGTACACTGGGTTTTATTAACTAATCGCTAATAGGCCAGTACCCACCAGGGTAAATGGAACCAGTTACATTCTGTTAAATCATGTAACATGGGACAGTCTCAGAAAACAAGAGATAAGGGTCCTGTGGAAAGTGATACATAGCCCTGGTCATGATAAAAACCTGGAATTTTAACTTCTGGTTAGAAGTCAAGGACAAGCACTCACTTGTCTTACCACATTTCTCAAGAAACGCCAGAAATAAAATATCCTAACGTGTGCACGGGAAAAAAAAATGGTAGCAGGAAGCTTATAGAAGTGGGGGGGAAGAAGAAAAGATCAACAGTCTCTAGTTTATTATGAATAGAAAGAAATTTCCAGAATTTACAAACACCCACATTGTTCATTCCAAAGAGAGCTTTTGATTTAAAGGGATCACCCAAGTCTCCTCCTCTTTACAGTATATACAATGGAAGACTTTGATTTCCTTTGCTTGTAATTTTGCTTCCATTCAATGGCCAATTTTAAGCTGACACTTGAAAATACCCAGGAGAATATACCCTTCTTCAGTTTAATTAACATGGCCTATTGCCTTACAGGAAAAATACAAAATTAAGATCAATTCTTGTAAGGATCTCAGCTCAACATTAGGGCTATATTACAAGAGATAGTATCCACAAATATAACTATACAACTGAGAACCATCTAATGGCACTATGATTCTTATTATATTATTTTTCTGAATTACAATCTTAAAACAAGGATCGTACCCTAGTCTACTCTTGTTAGCCTTGTTTTAAGTATTTGCTCCACTCTTTACAACAGAACATTGTATACCTCAGTTCCACATCCAAAAAAAAAGATGTGCTGTAAGAAAAGTTACAATTTTAATTAAAAATATTACACATATAAATCAAAACCTATGTTAAATATTTAATACTCTCTCCACCCAACGCGAACAGTTTTGTATGAAATAATTTACAACGATGCTTTGTCATACACAGTTTCAGCAGCAGATGAAATGGATCTTGTAAATGCAATGAGAGTAAACCCATTCTCTTGTGGCATGGTGGTGGGCCCATCAGCTCACATGGCCAGCTAAGTCCTTAAGGTTGAAGATGAAGTTTATGCAGACTCATAGTTCTGGTGTCACAGTGCTTTTTTGCTTGGCACAATATAGTACGTGCAGTTCAGTCAAGGAGCTCCTGAGGATTGTAAAAAGTAAACAAACTGAAATGGACGCATCGTACCATCTACTGAGGAGGAAGATGTGAGGTCCTGGTTGTGAATCATGAAATATTCAGAGTCTGGGTACCCATGAGGAAAGGGAGGATTTGCTGAGGTCATTCAGGTCTTCATTCTGAAAAGGAAAAAAGAAAGGATTTGTCACCACGGGCATATCGCAAAACACACGTTATATCAGTTTTTAAGGGTTTTTCTTTAAAAAGGAGGCGGCATCGGATAGGCAGAAGTCACAGGCACAAACAGTACTGTGTACTTAAATAAAATCAACAAACTGTATTTAACTTTTTCTCCCTTTCAAAATGCAAGAGTCTAAAGCAAATACAAACTCAAAATAGTCAATATTAAATCAGTCAACAGATCGATGGGATTTGGAGGTTTCAGAGTTTAGTAACACCAAAACACAAAATACTTTGATGTTCTGAGGGTCCAAACAAAAATGTGAATTATAGCTGTTGTGTTAAAGTACTATAAAATATGGTGAGCAGGTTACAGTCAGGCTATGCTTCATTTTCTTTTGGTTCAAAGTCAACTGCAGATTTTAGAATTTGAAGTTGCGGGGCCTAACATCACAAAATCTGAAGTCAGTTTTTAATGTGACATGGCTCAACATGAGGATTTTAGATGCAGAAGGAGACCCAAGTGAAAAAGGCATAGTTAATCATTAAATTAAAAAAGAAAGGGATTCTGATTTAGATCTAATAGAAATGCTATTCTGGCAGAAGCACATTGCTTCTATGCAAGTCCAGAAGGCAGACCTTGTGGGGCATTACCCATGCCCTTCCAGAGAGGAGACCCCTTATTCAACCTCATAAGCCCTCTTTTGCTCTCCAGTATTAATATTAGATAGACCCTCTGAAGCCTACATTTTTTATGTATTTCAAAGTTATCTATACATATCAATGCTTATAGAATGGTGCAGAGTAGATAGTAAATATTGCCGAATGGGTAACTGGTTGCATTAAATACTACGGGGGGATATAAAGCTGAATTGTGCTACAGGCCCTGCTTTCTAGAAAATCTAGGGAGGAAGGTAAGTTCCATTCATAAATAGAAAGAATGCAAAAGAAAAAGGGGGTAAATCCCATGGCAGATGCGCAGGAAAGAAGCTCTAGCTGCATGGAGGGAGGTAAAGAATGCTTCTAGCTGGGAAGACAAAGGAAATACCTGACACGTCTGGCTTGGCCTGGAGGAAAAGGAATAGTTCGGCGATGTGGAAACGGGATTGTATCTTTGCTGCTTCAGGGTTGCAACCCCAGAGCCTCATGCAAGGGCTGGCGCACAGTAAGGACTCAGTAAATACAAGTGGAACGAATCAAAGGGACAAAGCACAGGTCCCACTGATAGCACGTGATAAAACAAGGCCCGGGGAAGGGTATGGCCACAGCAGGCCAAATGGAGAAGGATGCGTTGTGTTGGATCCCAAGGTATGTGAAAAGGGGTCGAAGGAGGTAAATCTGCAAATGTAGGCGGGACAGATGGTGAAGAATCCCAAAGGAAAGGCTAAGGTATCTTTTTCTAAGTCTAGGGACAACCAGGACATGTTTCAGGATACGTCCAGATGTAGTAGTACTAATCCATGTCAGCTCCAAGGAAAGGAACAGAGTCTACGATCCATACAATGTGTACGTTGACTAACATAACTGTTTTTCTCTCTCTTCCCTTGAAGGAGAGTATTAGCTGGGACCAGGCAGCATTCACCCTTTGGCTTTCAGGTAAGCTGAAATTTACTAAACATGGACTCTACTTGTATGAGATTTCTGTTGTTGTTTTAATATTAACTCCACCCGTAAATGACAGGTGAACAGTCTGTTTTTCTATAGACAAATAAAGACTTCCCATGGAGACACCAATGTAAAAACAAAAAAGGACTCCAGGCTTTATCCCTCTGATGGCCAGAGAAACAGGACTGACTTTGTGTGGTTCCTACAAGTGAAAAGAAAACCCATCCCTTCAAAAACCCTGAACACTGATCTCCAGATCTCTTATTTACTTTCAAGTTTTTCCTGAACTCACACTGCAATCTATCAGAATGTTCCTACAAGAATATCTAGACAGAGCTTCACACAGCTTCATAGTTCTGGGCCCAAGATGAAGTGGGAAGTCCACACTTTATTAAAGGGCTTGAGACAAACAAACAAACTGCTCATTTATACAAAATGGGGGGGGGGCGTGTGGGGCAAGCAAAGGGCACACGGTATGCTTTTCATTTTATACCTGGCTCTCATCCAGAATGGCTGAATGCACAGCTCAGCACAGGAACAAACTGTATCCAGTTTTGTCCTCACACGTGCCAACACTGCATGGATGCAGAGGGGCAGAGATTTGGGGCCTCTCTGGGGAGGGAAAACCCTCTGGCTTTGCCAGATGCTGAAATCTATTGCTCTGGGCCACTCTGAACCCCTCCCTGTAATTTCCCACAAGTATGTATGTTCAAAGAGCAGGAGACAAAAGGATCTACCAATGGCACCATAAACTTTCCCTCTAAAGTCTCAGCATACTGCTTTTCAAAGCCCTTTATCCTAAATCCTGATCAACACATGTCTCAGCCCCTAATGCTACCTACTGGTGCCATCACCTTGGGGATCTCTGAAAAAGGGAGCAAGTGGGAAAGACGGAGGTTATGCTGACAGGCAGGGGATGGGCACAGAGGTGCTCAGCAGGCAACAGAGGCGGGGAAAAACTTCAAGCGAAAGTCTGAAGTTCACATCTGTTTATCTTTGTTCAAGGGTGTGTGTGTGTGCACGCATGTGTATACAGAAAATGTAGCTCCTGAGTAAATGATACAGATTTTTAACAGACACCCCTGAGTGAGAACTGTCCTTTCCTGCAGCCTCTTTGGGGTCTGCACACTTATTTCAAGCATGCAGCCATTGTTGGAAGCATTTTTGGAATGCTTTCTCCAGTTCCCATTTCTTTTCTGTGACTGCCTTCTCAGCCTTGGGCATATTCTTCTGAAGGGTCTCTATAGCAGGGGGTCCTCGGCCCTTTGAGGGCACATATGATCCGTGGAAATGGCCAAAAAGCTCTGAGAGCCAAATATGGTGAATAAAGGGGCTGATTAAGCTGGGTAATGGTTCTCAGTGAGGTATCATCTAAAGCCAAAGAACCCAAAACTAAAGTTCCCAAAACATAGCTGTTCACAATTGCTCTGATGAGCTTTGTTGGAAATGAACTCTGAGGACATTACAGACAGACCCTAGGGTAATGTTCATGGGGCTAACGTTCATTTGCTTGTATTCCCGCCTCCACACAATAGCGGTCAAGAAGGCCACAACTGCACTCGAAGAAAGGCCCGCATGCAGATCACACATTTTTGGAATATGTTTTTAAAAAACCAACACCGGGGTGCCTGGGCGGCTCAGCCGTTAGGCGTCTGCCTTGGGCTCAGGTCGTGGTCCCGGGGTCCTGGGATCGAGCCCCGCATCGGGCTCCCTGCTCCGCGGGAAGCCTGCTTCTCCCTCTCCCACTCCCCCTGCTTGTGTTCCCCCTCTCACTGTGTCTCTCTCTGTCAAATAAATAAATAAAATCTTTAAAAAAAATAAAAACAAAAAAACAAAAAACCAATACCCATACTAGGCTCCCGCAGTCATTCAATTCAAGAAACATCTGTTGACTGACAAAAAGGCAGTGATAAGGACTATCCTAAGCACTGAAAAGGATGACATGGGTAGAGGTACCTTTGATGCACTTTATATATACAGCCCAGACTGACTCACACCAACCATATGAGGCAAATATTGCAACAATGTTTTACAAATACAGAAACTCATCTGTTAACACCCATGAAATGGAAACAAAAAAGCAAAACATTTCCTTGGAGAAGAGCTGGGCAAATATCAAATGGTGATGTTCCTAGGATACATCCTCTCTGGTTACCTCACTGGGGAATAACTTCTGAACCCAGAAAGATGATGCACCTGTCACGAGATTTAGTAGCAGGAAATTACATTTGGACAAAATTTCAACACCACATCAGCAACTCCTGTCCCCTTCCCTGTGTCTTCTCGTAAGATAAAACGAACCTAATCCTGTTGCCAGTAATGAAAAATGTAATTTTTAAAGCATTATCAAATAAGTCAACACTTGAGCAATGCTACTTGAGACCTATGGATTACTGCATTATTGCATCCGGTAGGAATTTACATCTTCCGGACTTGACCCACTTAAACTATGCCTATGAGAGCTGAAAAACAGATAAACCTTCTGCTTTCCTTCACACTCAACCTGATTAGGCTTCACTGTAAAGCAGCTGAAAACAGCGAAAGATTACGATGCGTGTACAATGAAGGACCCACACCCTTTCAACAATGAATTTTTGGTCCAACCCATTGACTAAAAGTTTTATCTTGTATTCAAATGCCTGGAAACCTCCTGCCAATCTGTTGAGTCAAGGGCAACACAGTTATAAATATGTGGTTGAAGCATGACTAGCAGTCTACTTACACTAAGAAATTAGAAGTAAAATAGTCTTAGTTGTTGGGGCGCCTGGGTGGCTCAGTTGGTTGGGCGACTGCCTTCGGCTCAGGTCATGATCCTGGAGTCCCGGGATCGAGTCCCACGTCAGGCTCCCTGCTCAGCGGGGAGTCTGCTTCTCCCTCTGACCTTCCCTCCTCTCATGTACTCTCTCTCAAATAAATAAATAAAATCTTTAAAAAAAAATAGTCTTAGTTGCTTGGCTATTGTCATATACCAAAATGTAGCCATAAAGTAACTCTTCCTCACCCAACTATGCGTGAAAAAAAAATGACTACTGTAATGACTTTTCTTCAATGGAGATCATTGTTTGAAATCTTATATTGCAGATTCAACTAGAAAAATTGGTATAAATGAATTCCTCCACTTAAAGAAATGTGTCAAAACAGCACATTTCTCTTTCACTTAAAATAAACAGCTGTGACTTAAAAAATTCTTGACTATAATATAGAAAATTTATGGACCACGGGAAAAGGTAAAAAAGGAATAAACATTTCTCAAATTCTTGTCACCCAGGGAAAGCCACGGTTCAGCTGTGGTTCTAAAGCTACTATTTGCTTAAAGGACTTGAACTTTTAAAATTTTGCATCCAGTGTCAAAAATGTTTCAATAGGACAGGAAGATAATGTTCTCATCATATTT